AAGAAACTACGCACAAGGTTGCTGAAAACTCTTCGACAGCCCACAACAGGTTTCGCCCTTTTTGGGGCACATCGGGTAAGCGCAGTGCCAACTGAAACATGTGTGCAGTACATTCAGTTGTAGAATATCATTAACGACAGATTCAGTTGAGTATCTCGTGAAAACCAAATTGATTTGCAAATGAGTGTATTTCTCGAAAACAGTCCAATTTGGGTTAAAGTGGAACATAAGGTTTAGACAATTTTTGTTTATTCGTTTATTTAACTTGTTCGCCAGCATGTAGAAAGTTGTGAATCTGGTTTACAATTGACGTGCTAAATGCGGCTACCATCAATATGGCGCAAAACATATTTGCCCTAAGACATCAAGCGCCTAGTTATTTATGACTATGCAATTTCCCTAAAACATAGAGATAACTCTCTACCGTAAATCTGAATTAGTTCAGAGAATCGGCAGAGTCTTAGTTATGTCATCATACGGGAGAGACTTGGAACTTACTTAGAACAGTCTAGACTTTCTTCCGTTCTGTTTTCCTGATCGTTGTTTTACAGTAATCTGACAATATGAGGCTGTGTTGGACCAGTTGAACGAATCCAAATAATTGAATTTAAGAACACTTATTTATAAAGAGGTAAATCAATAAACCCAATTAAGATCAAAGACCATTCCCACTCTTGCACAAGGCACTAGCATTTGTCTGGTTGCTCCATCTGCCTGAATAAGAAACATGGTTTTTACCTGCTGTTGCTTGTTTCTTTGGTCTCTCCATCTCTCGAACGCAGTTGACGCAAAAGGACCAAAATTCGCACACGCCATTTGCATTCACCTTGTGTTTTATGCGACTCCTAGTCAGAGCACATGTTGAAGCCACACAACTGCTGTGTTCCTGATCAGACCTAATTCGATCTCTGCCGCATTTCTGATGCTGCTGATTTCCAGAAAACTTTTATGGTAAGTGTGTAATTAGGAGGAACTAGGTTCTACCACTGATCTGACGACCGAAACTGGGCGCTGCACTCAACCATCCAATAATCGCCAAACCAAAGTAGGATCCTGTTGGTAGCTTCATCGTCTGGTTTAACACGAGTGCGACTGCTTCTTCCGTGTCTTAAAAGGATAGAGTTACTCAACGGCTGTTGGTTTAAAAATTTGCTGATTCTAGAAAACGAGGTGTAACAACACATGACATAACAATGAGAAAAATGTCGTAGTTTTCCTTCATATATCTCATGCAGGATGGTTATCGGTTGATACCCCTCCTCAAAGAGTGCCTTTAGTTGTCAATATTCATTATGGAGTACCTGGTTATACGATGTACGCTAGGTATTACTCAAAATAGGGGATTTGGTCAAACAGCAGACAATGGTACACGGTCAGTGGTCCCAGAACAACTTCTGTTTCAATCGAAACCTTCCTCAGTTCACCGGATAGGTTATGAAATGGAATTATGAGTCATGATTTTCCTTCTTACTCGCCACATTCGGTCAATTCGCGTAACCATCTCCGTGCCCTCGCACACGGGCTTGGAGTTAACAGGCAATCTAGGCGTGTAGGTTGCTCAAGGTCAGTGTACAAATAAATGCTCGAAACAATCATGCGGTGGAATATCATATGTGCGGTTGTATCCACTCCATACAATTTATCCGTCAAAATGGGATGCGACATAGGGAAACCATGCGGACGGCACTTACAAATCACGTGAATGAACAACCAGTCTCGTTTATTGTCGAGTGACCAGCCGAATTGATTGACTCTCACACTCCGACTCCGCGTTGCATCCAACCACAGTCAAACCTATCAATGGGATTTTGTTCCTAACGCAGTCTTTTCCACTTCGATAAGTAGCGCTGTTTGTCACACCTGAATCACGTCTTTTTGTGTTTATCCATTCAATACGGCTTCAGGATTCGCGGATATATTTCGGTGAAGCATCGTGTTTACATCAGGGCCCAGATCACATTCGAGTGATGCTGAGAGCCAACTCTACTGTACCGACTAGTGTGCCGCTACGCGAGCAACTCGAAATTTACAGAGGTGCATGCCATCTTACTTGAGTGTCCTGGGTCTCCGACCATCCCAACCGCATGGAGATTTAATAAGTTTGCTGCCCGGACTTGTTGAAGGTGGTTTTATCAAACGTTGCAGTTAATCCTGGAGTGTTTTCGGAATAATCCGAGGACGAACTAGTGAGTATTCGGCAGAGATCCTAGGCCACCTAGTTGTAAGTCATACTTGCATTTCCAGGATTCTGAACTAGCATTTTTACTAGATGACGTATCGGTCCTACTAATAACTAGGAAAGAGTATACGGAACCAGCTACCAATGAAAATAAGAACGGATTGCTGCTAATGAGAATGGAAATCTCAATATACGTATGCAAAACATGGGCACGTTTTTCACCCGCCTGCTAAGTGAATGGAAGTCAAGTTTCTTCCATTATACATTATACATTATACTATATGAATCTAAGCCTCCAATTTCATTTTAAACAAGGTGCCATCAGGTTCAGTCCTGTGCTGGTTCCTGGATAACTAAAAGCGCCGCTGCCGTTCTTAAAATTCCGTACATTTCGGAATAACAATGGGTTCTTTTTTAGGCATCTAAGATTCTCTATTTTAGAGAAATCGGGTATCTACAATAGCTAGATATCATCCAGCTTACGGACATTCGCTATTTTCACCGATTTAGCTTCTAATATCGCTATCCTCATTCTTTGTATCGGATTGTTTGTTCGTGAACCGTCCACCACATCACGCTTTGTCGTGAAAATTCCGTTGTGGCTATCGAACTTGGTGTTAGTAGCATATTAGTTCATCATCCGGACTTCACTTCTATTCACAGAATCACTTGTCCTCATACTTACCGGACAGTGCGCTGTTTCACGCAGCTCGGCCTGTTGTGAATACGTCCCGTCTAGCTACTGTACTTTATTCGGTTTCCTGGATTTCCAGTTTGAAGAGGAGTGTGACAAGTGCCTCACCTTCATTACGCAAACTTCTGGAATTTGTCTCCTTTAAAAAAGGAAATTGACTGAGCGCTGTTTCTGGATATTCTGGGCCCACTGATAAATCTTCAGCTAGGGGGAGTTCTACAGAACCGATTCCCTTGACATGTAATTTCAACCACTGACCGGAGATCGCGGGATTGAAACTATCTCTGTTTCGTGAGCTTCGCACTGCTGATGATTCTCAACAAATATGGAGCAAGCATGAAATGTCTCTAGATTTTTCAGCATAGAATGTCTTCCTTCACAAGCTGAGCGAGATCTCAGTTGAACAGTACCAAATCTCCTCATATCACCGTTAGCTCTAATTCCACTACTAATATCTTCCCCCGTCAATTTTTTATTGTCGACTGCTCCCACTTGAACAAGGAAAAACTTAAACCACCGGTGAGATTTTTTTCCTCCAACTATTTCAAAGCATACACTTTCAATACCACTCGTTAAGGCATTGTTAGGCAGATTAAACATGACCCAATGCAGAACAGGTACTACCCAGATTGTAGACCGATTCATGGATTTATGACTGCTCATGAATTAGTGCTATTTTGCGCTCCAGAGTGCTTCTTGCAATACACCGGACCATTACGAAAGATGAATGCCTGTAACATACTACTAGAGAAACGAGATGAACGTAAGCTATCCGATATCACATTGCCTTCCCTAAATACGTATCGTCAAACCAATTTAGTAGAGATGAACGGTTTAAGATTTTATCTGTCCCCTTGAGCAAACAAAAAATCATTGACAGCTGAGTCTACTTGGCTGTCAAACTTAACGCGGAGAGTGAGGTGTGCGAGAATAAGGAGCGACTGTCTGGCGATTTCAGCCACAGCGTACCTACAGGGCACTGTTCGACACAAATCTAAAGCCATCTATTAGGTCACTCTGGGCCTCCACAGTGGCATCTATCGTATAGTTTTGAAAGCTTTCATCACCCTTCCCGATACCCTGCATCCAGCCAACTGACCAAAAAGAACGATTTACAGCCCTTTCTGAATTCGTTCTAGGTGCTTGAAGAACTGTCTGTGTGTCTATATGTGTCCTTGTTCAATCAGTTTGTCTATTTTTGTGGGAGCAGGCAGGCACATTGATAAACTCACGTGGAATCGGCTTGGTGGGGAAGACTCTCCTTTAGTTTTGTCTTTTTATGGGATCAGTCTTAAAGATGACTAGTGATATGGTCACAGAAGGGACTCCGTCAGATACCTTGATGGGCCTTTGAATAAATTTTCCGTCGTCCGTATCTGTAAACACAGAAGGTTGGGCAGTACGCCTTACAGAGTCATTTTCTGAGTTCTGAACTGTACTGTTCCGGAAATCCATCTGCACCTACGAAAGAATACTCAGGGTGAATTAAATTTCCTCTTCTGAGCAAATCTTACTGGCTCTACCTCACAGGCTGTACAGTCCAAGTTCTAAATTTCATGAACTTGGTTGAGAGTAAAAATGTCGATAGAAAATTGAATGGTCCCGGTTCAATATAGACAGCTAAACAATACATACCCATCCAGATAAAAGCTAAGACAATCGAACATCAGAACTAAGTTTTTTCTATATCTTTTCTCCCTCCCTTCTCAGACGCAATAATGTGAATGCGGCAGGAACGGATGCTGTTGGTTTTCTGTCAGGTTGCCCAAAATGCCGCACAATCACATTATTCTGACAAATCCTTTGTCCCTGTATGTCACTGCGCGTACGCTGTCGCACATGTCCCAACTTCTGGAGACACCAGCCGTGGACAACCCAACTAGCAAGCGGTTGTGGTTATGTGACAGGGACACGCGAAAACAGATCTAGGGCATGTGCCAGTCCGCTGTGAATTCACTGACGTCTGATTCATGTGCAAGGCCAGTTGACTCACGCACTATCCAGCCGCATGTCTGGCTACGCGCGGTCGCACGCGACGAACACAGACGTGCGCGCATCTCGTCTGTCTACCTTTCTCCGCATATTTTCTCCCTGCAAACCTATCGACCATTGAGACGACTATAGCGCGACCAGTCCCATTTTACTCCGCTTGCGCCAAACCATTTGTCCGTTCGTTCACTTATTCGGCACAGGCAACCGGAGGACTGGCACCTGCAATCAACCACCAATTGGGTGTTTGGGAGTAATCCAGGTGTCAAATCCACGCACACCACGGACCGGTTCGCTGGATCGGTGACTTTGGAGCATTAACGGCGCGAGTAAGTGATCCGCGTATTCATAGTTCGTTCACATGTGCTGCAACGCAACTAGCCGAATGACTATTCGAAAGTCCCCGATTTGTGGAAGTGAGATTGACTTAACTTAGCACATTTACAAACCCGGAATAGTTTCACCTCCACTGACATCTTTTGAATACAATTGGTGTCTAAAATACCCGGTACTTCTGTCAACTAGTAAGCTATGAGTTGAATCTGACTGCTTATTTGTAAGTTAGGATAAGATGCGTTAGCTTCAGAAAGTTCTGGCTGGTTTTTGAGCTCTTTTGTCAGGTTGCGTTAGCTAACACATCTATGTCGGCTGCAACACATACAAGCGTATGACGTACTTAAGCCCGATGGCCTTGCAAATTATTGGAAGGGCTACTTCAGCTGCACCAGTTTATGTTACTCTGACAGCTTGTAAGTGCCTCGCAGTGACGTCCGTTGCTGGGACTGACTCCGACCCTTATACTGCGTATGAGACCAGTCGAAGAACACATTGCCGGTTTACACTATTGCTGGGTGTGTCGTGTATCCAATCGCAACAGGATTTTGTGTGAACATCAATCCGGAACACCATTCAGTTCTGTTGACTCATAAGTGTGCGGGACTCACCCGGGCTGCCGGCAGTGGGCCTTCTCTAAAACCCAGTCTCGGTCCGGGAGGCCTGACTAAACTCAGTCACATTTTGTAGAATAGCCCACCATCTGGAGATCCTATCGCATATATACGGGCTGTTCTGGACCTTGATCATTCCATCTGACGCAGTCACGCTCAATCGACCAAGTCTATAAGCGTTCCGCGACGTCGGTGAGCGATGCTCGAGTTGCGGACAATCATGCCAGGTCAGCTGACAATGTCAAACGGGCAAAATGGTCGCTCGATAGTTTCGGCTGTTGCCGTGTTTTTTTCGTGAATCAGCTGTACCAACTGGTTCGGTGAAAACTAAGAAGAACAGGGACCGATGGACCATCATTTATTTGGAATTGCTGGGTTTATGAAATACAAAACTATGGATGAAAGCGATTCTGCCAGCACACAGTATTTAGTATCTCTCCAACAATATACATCTGGTGAGCGTGTTCTACACCAAACAAACGGCGAGCATCCTTCATGTTTGCATACAGGCACGCCTGATTCCTGACCCCACCAAAAAACGAAGTCCCAAAACCTGTGGAACCTAAGCGTTTCGGTTTTTCAGGTTTTCAAACTCTGTGAAATAAGGAATTATCGGCGGGCAAGAGTGGGGAGTTTGTTGGAGATTTTCAAAAGAAACTGCCAGTGAGACTTGTGTTTCGGTTGTCGACCGGTCTTCCAGTAAATGCATGAAGGACGATACACTGTTTTCTCGTATGCTACAGCAGATTTGTAGTTGTAATCGGCCGACGAAGTCTTATCAACTCGCATGCAATTTGTACTCTTTTTGATTACATTTTGCATTGTGTAACAGTTTTAAAAACGCCTATATGAATAAGTATGTGATCTTACCGATTGCCGAACTTTCGATGAACTATCGATGACGCTTAAAGCCATTTCATTTGGCATTCCACCTAGTGGGAGGAAGATCACACAGTGACCATGAGTGAATCATGTGGTTGGAACGTGTCACCAATGCGATCTTTTTTATTGCCGGTAGCCATCGTATCACGCTTGTTAATGATAAAAATAGGATAGTCCTAACACTCTCGTAAAGGTGACAGTTTAGAAGTGGATTGCTTATTTCAAAAAAACAATGGAAGCATTACAGCTATCTGTATCGAAAGATTCTGGACGACGGACTACAAGCTAACTAGTCAGGGTGGATTTCGTTCGGGTAAGACAGGTCGGAATCGCCCGTATTTAGGGCTGTGATTCCGTTTATCTTTGGCCCAGTTTGATCGGTTTCATTCCGAGAACGGTTACCAAGTCTAATTCCTCTGTTTCAGATGTCCTCACGACTCGCTCACCATTCTTGCGTTCATTTTTGTGCTTGGCTATATCCATATTTTGACTTCTGGTTTTCCACATCCCAGCATGCAGCCAAAGTGAGCTATCCGTCAGTATAAGATTTTGCTGATATTTCGGATAAATTCGGCCACCTTGCCACGTGGTGGCAGCGGCCTTGGTTCAGACTGGGAGCACCCCGCGTCGCCACCGCCTGAAGTGATGTGACATGATAACATACTGCACCAGGTGTATACCAAGGCCATTGCTATGTGTACAAAAAGCCGAAGGCAGCGCGAGCACCAATTCTATTATTGTATTAGCCAGAGGGACCGTTCGATCTGGCCGGTTTGGTACTTCTCGGCGCTGAGTACATATCCACTTCCATCATACCCCCTAACGAGGAGCGTGATATCTGATATTATAAGGCCAGGTTCTAGATGAGGTGCCGCCCCACACTTCGTATGCTTACAGTGGTTGTTAAAACGCCATTAATAATTGCTAGCTATGAGTGATATTATATCGTGTGCTTATCGAACTTTTGTTTTCCTCCAATTTTCGATGCATTAACTTGTAACCTGAGGAACGACACAACAATGTGCTTTTCTCAAAGAAAAATAGCATAAAAGCCAACATGAACGGGGGTAGCCGTATTCCCTGTCATCCATAGTTGGTATTTCCCTCTAGTAGATGGTCAAACGAATATCACGTTTGTGGCGCTACGAAAGAATGATATTTAAATCGTCAGCTTAACACCTGTAACTTAGAGACGAGTCACAAAGTTCAATAACTCCACTTTCAGAGACACAGTATTGCATTCCCGTCTTCAGTTCATCTCGGGAAAAACACTGAAGCACCATATGACTTGCTCGTTGTCTCCTTGGCATCGTGTAGCGTACGTGATCTTTTGTCAACTACCTATCTGCTGGTCTATGAAACCGCAAGAAGCTCAGCTCGTCTAATGGAAAAAACAGCCTATTGTGAAAGGCTACTTCGGATTATCTCTGTGTATTTTAAATCCCATTGGTGAAACAAAAGTTCAGTTTTGGCCCCCTTTCGGTGCCTAGCTGCCTTCCACTCTAAGCCTTACGGTCAGTAATTTCGCGCTCTAACCACTTGGTCCAACTCGCCCCGAAATCCAAAAGATTGGCTTATGTGCCATCCGCTTGGTATGTACAAATTGAACAAGTGAGGGCTCATCACACTGCTGTTCAGCCGCCTGTGATCAAGCGGCCAAGTGTCCAATCGCTGGCTAGAAGTTCGTGGGTTCGATACACCTTCATATTCTTGAGATGCGCACTGCTGATGATTCCCAATAAGGACGAAACACTTGTACATTGCTTCTTGGTTTTTCAGCATAGATTGGCTTCACTGGCAGGGCGAAATCTCAATTGGAAAAAATGCATACAACAGCCAGTTTGTGTTGGGCTTCCATGGATTATATATAAAAAAGTGGTTGTAGCGACGTGCCACCTCGAAACTTGGTCGTATTAACGAAGTGCTGTGTATTGTGCGGTTAGATTGAGTAATCATGATACAATACGAGACGTTTCTTCCGTTTGGTTCGCAAGGCATAGAGAGTTGTCTAGACGTGACGTGCTACTCATAAGGCTGCTGAAAACTCCTCGCTCTTTTCGTGACTCTGCAGTCAGGCGCACTCTCCGATTTACCCTCAACCGCTTCAGTTGAGGCGCACTATCATAAACGGGAAATTCAGCCTCATTCCCTTATGCCTCCTGTTGGTCGTCAGAAACTTTGACAGTGTCTGGCTATTCAGGATGTCCCTTTCAAATTTATATCTGTTACCAGGGCATTGTATGCGAACTCCTGTGGACGAGGATGAGTATACAGCAAGCTTTTGCTTGAGTTCACTCCCAGTGGTGTAAGATAAGACTGTCCTCTCTTCAACTTGGTTATTCATGTCCTTCTTGAAATTTCTGTTTTTCACTGCAACGTCGGGGGTCGAAATGCTCCCGGGACGTTCCCTCACAGACGTTGAGTATGCAGATGACATTGTCCTCCTGGGTTCAGATCCTTCAAAACTGTAAACCATTTTAAATAAACTAAGTAATTCTACCGCATGGTTTGGCATACGCTTCACACCTTCAAAGTGTAAAGTGCTGCTACAAGACTGGGTTTGGTCAAATCCAAACCTCTTGCCTGCAGACGAGCTAATCGACGTGGTAGATAAATCTGTTTACCTGGGCGGTGTCGGTGGATTGGCTAGAGATTAATTATCGAATCCGGAAGGCCGGTACAACTGTACCACCCTCACATACTTATGTGACAGATGTGAGATCATTTTGTTTATCAATGGCAGAGTTTCCTACTGCTTTATGAACCACTGACGCGGCCTCTACGCGCAGAAAACACAAAATATGTCGGTGTCTCTGAGGCGTTGATCGGGTCTGGTGGGAACATTTGATCAGCAGTGCTGAGGTGCTTCAGACTGTTTTAGGAGACAGGAACTCCTCATGGTAGATGAATTACTCAATCTCCATAAGTTACGCTGGTTAGGACATGTACTCCGCATGCCAGAGCACCGTCCGCCTCGCGGAGCTCTTTTCCCCAACCCTGTGATGAGTGGAAGTGACCGAGAGGTAACAGTATATGATCTGGCGACGAAGTATGAGGACACTAACAGTTGCCGCCTCCCTGGATGGAGACCCGGGGACTCAGTTCACCAATGACAATGGCAGAAATGGTCGCACATTCATTGGCGCCCGTGCATCTAAGCTATCACCTCCAGTGCGCATAACTAACTGTAGATGCTGTCGCCTTCAACGCTTGGCTGTATCTTCCACACTTTCCCACTTTCCAGTGATCGACACTGTAGCAGCTGGAACCAATGTAGTCACGGTACATGGTTTATGTTAAATCGACTGAAGTGCCTGTGTGTATATGAGAGTATTTAGAAGCAGTTAGAACATTACTTAGAAGCATTGCTTGGTCTGGCCCATCAGGACCGTATATCTTTGATAATAATGCTAGATGTGCACCTAGCACCAAAGACGATTTGAACATATCATAGACCTGATGCGGAACCTACTGTGGTTCCTCCTAAATGACATCTACCC